TTCGGAGTTCGAGAAACCTCATCGCGAGGGACGAGCCTGGCAACAGCACAGAAAAGCTCGAATGCGACTTGGAATTCGATTTGCTTGATGCGCTGTGCGATAAGCTCCCGAATCGGAAGCCGATGCGGCTCAGGTTGATCAAGCACTTTCCGCGGCATTGCAGGTGCTCCAAACCTCATCTGCGGTGTGGGCACGGCTTCCCAGCCGGTACTTGTGTCCGTAACACAAGGGCTTCGGCATGAACCGAGCTGAGAAGAAGTCGCTGGACTTGTGGTCTTTGAACCTTTGCTGGAGGATGACTTTGCTTCGTCCATTTCTTTCAGCAACTTTGCTCGATCTTTTGGGCCGAGGGTTTTCCAATAATCCGATGGAATGTCCTTGGGGCGTTTGCTGCCTTTGTACGTCTTCACCACTCGAAGACCATCCCAATGGTAACCTTCAGGAATAGGGACCCCGGCCGGCGTAGTGTCGGGCTTGTAGTCCTCGGCTTTGTCAGCTGCCGTGACTTCAATTTCGGGTTCCACACCCCCCTGTTCAAGTACACCTTCTGGAGCTTCGGATGGTGTGTACTCTGCGAGGTCAGCATCCGCAAGTGGAATCGGATTGGGAGACTCGATAAGGTTGAGCTTTGGGTCATCAGGGATAGCTTCCTTACGATCTTGTTTGACACGCAATGGAAAACTAAAACCGCCTGGAAGGAGCTCAATTTTCTTTGTCCTCTGGATCGTCAAACTGTTGTGTTCAACATGGTAGTCTAGTGCTTCCAACTTAGCAACTAGGTACTCCCCACGCCACTTGTGTCCTGGCTGTACATGATAACCAAGAAACACACCTTCCACCGAAGTGGGCGACAGCTTTCCTGCTGTATTGTCGGCTCGATTGGGGTTGTTCCAGAATAGGACTTTTGCACCAAACGGAATGGCCATGCCTTCGAACATTTCTCCAAAACGCAGTTCCCATGGGCTTGGAGATGAGTCCAGCTGATCACTCGTGTTTGTTGCCATTGCAAAATGTTGAATGGCGAGTGGCCAGTACTGGAGGGGCATTCCGGACTGAACAAGATTGGTGCGTGCTCCCTCAAGCATGTTCCTAACTTCCCTTTCGATGAAGCTCTTGGAGGAGTCCACGTACTCAACGGAGGTTTGGTGGCGATACCCTAACTCCTTGATACCAGCTATCAGCTCACGGGAATTGTCGGTGTAAATGACCTCGACTGCATCATCCGGGGCAACAAAATGCTGAAGAGCAATCACTACCTCATCCGAACTCTTTGACTGGGATGGGTAAATACTCCGGAACTTTGTATGCAGGTCTTTCACAACCAAAGCTACCCGTTCACCACGACTCCCTTCTTCGATGTTCGCGCGCACGACGACGTGGTCGGCGATCAGATGATCACCAAAGGCCTTAGTCTGAATGCGGCTCTCACCCCCTTTCTTTCGTGCCTGTGGTGCAAGCATCCTTGCTCGCTGGCACACTTTGCAGAATGGGTTCTTGGGGAAGTGGTGATACTGGTGTTTTGCGGACTGTGCTTCACGCATCAAGTCTCCAACTTTTCTTGATCGCACCAAACGGCTCTCTTCGTCGTCTGGCACTTCCTCGTCGATGCCCTCATCCTCTTTCTTATCCGACGGGCTCGAGATTGCTCCCGGCATAGCAAACAGCTTCTTCAGAGGCTTGTCCTTCTTGAACTTGCCCTTTCCAAAGACTTTGCATTCGGAGTCGAGGACTGGGACATGACCATCAACACGAAGTTGAACTATTTTCTCATCTGGTCGCACAAGAATCGGAGTACCGTTTGCTGGCCACACAAAACTATACCCTTGGTCAAGGCATTTGATGCCAACTGAGAGCACAGCAGGGCATTCATCCAGCAAATACGGCGTGCAAGGCTCCAGTAGCTGCTTCATCTTGACGTCAGCTACCTCACTGGCTTCAGTCGACCCATTCGCAGTAATCAGACTGATGGTGTGAGGAGCCCGTCTTGGGTTCTCCGCACCAGCAGCATCCATAACTTTCCTGCTGAGGAGATCTTGCTCACTCCCAGAATCGACAAGCCATGAGAACCTGCCTTCCCTTGGTGCTGGACCAGCAACTATAGTCGGGATGGTAGTAGGACATGTCTTCAACTTGATCAAGCTTCGGCACTCACGACAAGTAAGCGACGATTCGGTGCACAGAAAACGACATGAGGGCACTGTTGCGCTATCAAAGCTTCGAACAACTTCAGCCAACTGCCTAGCTTTTACTTTGGCCATGTGGGCTGCCTGTGGGTCGCTCTTGGGCACGCAATCGCTCGTGGCAAAATGCACACTGTACTTGCGCTCACGCTTGACCATCTTACAATGTTCCCCGCGAGCAGGGATGGTGCGAATTTCCGGTTTCATAACGAATGTTGTTCTTCGGACAGACGACTTAGACCTCTTTCTCGCTGGAGGAAGACAGGACTTCTTGAGACATGACCGTCCGGGCACACCAGTCGCAAGACATGCAAACCGATTGCTCAGGCACATGGCAGCCTTCTTGGTATCTCCTTTTGCCTTTGGCTTTGGGGAGTCCTTTCTTGGCTTCGTTTTCGGAGCCGGTGCTGCCTTTTCTCCATGTTTGAAAAAGCACTTGTCTCCTCTTCTGCATGTACCTTGTTGATCGTACCTGCATGGGGTCTTCGCCATCTCTTCCTTAGTCATCCGCTTCTTTTCCTTATCTGTGCTTTTGTCCCTCGACTCATTCCGCTCCCGGGATGGTTGGCGCTTCTTGGAAGGATCACGCTTGGGCTTTTCATGCTTGAACTTGCAATCTTTCCCTTTTGCACACTTTCCCTCCAAAAAGGCCCAACAAATGCCCTTCTCCCGAGAAGTGGATCGTCCGCGCGATGGCGAACGCTTTCGCCGAGGATCAACAGTAGGGGCTGCGTTCTTCTCATGTCGATCACCTGGCTTGAGCCGATTTCGCTCCGCGATACGTGATCGATTCTCACGAAGGCGTTCCCGATCTATCAAATCCTTGATGCTTTGCAGTAGGAATTTGTAAGACCGATGATGGTCACCTTCTTTTGCACGATCGAAGAGATCAATGTCGTACCTCAGGATTGTGCTAGTGCGGATCTGCCTTAAAAGGATGTCTCGAAGCACGTTTTCGTGCGGTGGTTCGGGCATACCAGCGATGGTAGCGTCCCAGCGGTTGATGAAACGCTTCAAGTCCGCTACAGTATCGCCTACCTTTACCACATTGAGGAGATCTTCAACTCTATAGAGGCTACCCGCTTCTTCCGAGGTCTTGAAATAGTCATCGAACATGAGAAGAATCATTCTTCCTCGAACCTGGATGCCTAGCTTTGCCTTCTCTTCTTTGTAATTGATGATTCGGTTTGCTAGATCACCCTTTGCACTTCTGGTTAGCGCAGCTGCCAACTTGGTATCCAACGTTGTGAACTTCCCAGGGTTAGACAACCGCTCTTCCAGAACTTTTCTCTCATCAACAGTGTTGTAAACCTCCATTAACCAGTCCCAGGCAGCATCTGGTTTGTCAGAACATGACTTGATTTCGTCCCTCACATGATGTTTCCACTGCCGATAGGTTTCAGGGGTTGGCATGTCGTTCAACTTGATATGATCTGCCTCCTTTACCTTTGGCTTCTCATCTGACTCTCTTTGAGTGAGTGACTTGACCAATTCAATCACCTGCTCAGAGGTGATGGCACCTGATGACGCTGGCTTATGGGGTTCGCGAATTGAAGGTGCAGGGCTATGGAACAAATTTGTCGGTGTTTTGCCCCCATCCGCTGCTGTGCCTCCGTAAACTGGAAGCACGGGCTTGATAGGAGCAGCTGCCCCTGGTGGGGCATCACCGATGATGGTGGCCGTCGGCGCTTTGGGTGCGAACAGTCCACTCAAACGTGCAGTAGCCTCTGCTGCAATGGTCTCCAGAGGATTTTTCCTCTTTGTGTCATCATGCCTAGGGGTAGACACTGGTGTGTTCATGACACTTGTTGGATGGTACTCTAGCTCGGGTCCAGTATGCATTTTGGCTTTAAGGTCATCGAGCATTTGCTGCAGGCTATAGTTTTCATTTTCTGCGTCGCGTAGCTCACGTCGAAGCTGAGTTTCCCGCTCATCGAACTCTGCACGAAGCGTTGCCACACCTTGCTCGGCACCGCTGGTGATGGCAGTGACAGTTTGCTGACAATCATGCATGAGCTGAATGCGCAAGGAGTCCAGTTCTGCTTTTCTGGCTTCAGCTTCAATGGACCTTTCACTCTCTAGCTTAAGGATTCGTGCTTTTGCAGCACTTAGTTCCCCTTGCACTTGGTTGTAGCTAGATTGAGCTTGTTGCCTTACCGAACTGAGTTCCTCATGATGCTTGCTCGCTACTTCATCGATTGCTTGACGAAACTTGGTTTTTACCATGTCCAGCCATTGTCCCATTATCTCTTTGTGTCTTCTCTCTGCCTCAGCAATGATAGCGTCTTCGTTTCCGTTGTACACTTGTTGAATGTTTTGCTGCACGAACTGAAAGTAAGCTGTGACAGGAGCTGAACCCATGGGGTCATCTAGATCCACCGTGGGCTCAGTCATGAGACCGGCTGGGACTGCTACCGATGATGTACCGTTCCCAGGAATAGCAAGAGCGTCCATGGCTGTGGTTAGAGCACTACGGCTGATAACCTATAGAAACAGCCGTTAAGCTGCAACTCCTGTTTTGGGCCGCGAGCTGCGAAAGGTAGATCTGCGTGACATCCTACTATGTGCAAGGTACAAAGTGTACATATTACATGGAGTGAAAATACACATCCGACACTGTAAAGACCTCAGTGATCTCACCTCGAAAACCATCTCAATCCAACAAAATCTTCAGTCAAACCCTACTTGGACCAAGCTCAAGGTACACATCCTCAGAACTCAGCAGCTTCTCTGCCTCACTGATTCACTCAGCAGCCCAACCCTGCAACATTCCCCCACATCGCAGAACCCAGACGCCGCCCTCCAACCACGCCAAGACACGGCAGCTTGGCTGGCATCCTGTGCGGCATGACGAAGGTCAAGCGGCTCAACATATCCTCCAGGCAACCGCTATTCCGAAGGCGCTTTGTCGCACAGGGCACCGGGTGGGTTTTATTATATTATTTAAACGGAGTGAGGTGCCTATTTTGTGGCCAACAAACCAGCAGCACAACAAAACACGGACCCGAAATGCCTGAAACATGCCAAGCGAAACCAGCTCCAAGTACACCTCCGGCCGCACGGGTCCTTTTTGATCAGCGGCAGCTCTGCAGTGCGGCAGTCACCCACGGCCGGTTCCAATTGTCCACAGTGGAGGCCCAAATGAAGGAGGACCTGCCGAGTTCGAGGCCTCCGTGCATGCCACGATCTAATGGATGTTGTATGATGTTGTGATCTTTTTGCTGAAAAATGAAAAACCATAGACAACACCCTGAATCCCCCTGATAGTTTTCTGTGTTCCACACGTCAGGAGAATGTCTTAGTCGACCACGCTGCGGGCACATTCGACCTGCGCGGTCGTGACGGACGTTCCAAACACCGCGCTGACGGGCTCGTTCGACGCGGACCGCCTCGTTCGGACGCCTCGCCTCTCGGCCATTCCAAACACAGGCTTCGAAGAGGCCATCCACCTTGGCCTTCAGCAAGGTGCATGGCATCCCATCTTCGCCCAGGCGCGCCAAGTACTTCCAGGGGCGGCCCCTCCAAAGGCCAGGGGAATTCACATCGAACGGAATCCGAAGAGCCCGGTAAAAGCACGGAATCCGAAGACCTCCTTGAGTTTGCGTTATTGATTTGTTGTGTTGATTTTAGGATCACGAACTCCAGTCAGAATGCGGTCTTTGGCGTTGGGTACAGACATATATTTGAGCGATGTCCCGGAAATTCGTTGGAAAGCATTGTATGATACTGTGTGTCCTTTGGGGGACAACTTGAACAACATGGCCCAGTCGTAGTCGAAGTCGAAGGAATTGCGAACCGATTGCCATGGTCGACTATGACATTATTGGTAATTATGTCATATACTGGATCCAGTCCAAGCTGCACATCACCAGCAAGTTGATCCTCATAACTTGCCATCTTACGATATCTCAGCAGATTCTCCATCCTCGCTTTGTCATGTCTTCTCTGAGAATCCTCATCCATGAACAAAGAGATTTCGCTCTCCTCCTGAGCTGCAGAAGGAGGCAAGCAATCCAAACCCAACTTCAGGTTTCCCCCTTTCTCTGTAGTCCTGGTGTGCTGGACTTAGAACTGCACAAAAGACCTCGAAAGGAGGCGCACGTTGCCGGCGGCAAGCCGTGGCTTTGCCCAGTCCGTTGAGGAGGTGACGGACAGGATCTCTTTGGCACCCCAAAACCCTTTAGAACTCTCCAAACCATTCCCCAACTCCAAACCGTCCAAACCAAACAGAAAAACCGCTTGGGTCCACCGTCTCCACCTGCCTTCTCTTCCTCTCGGCCCAAGGCTCTTCGTGCATGATGGGACTCCTGGGGAAGGGCAGATCCTTCAAGCGTTGCACCACACCCGCCTGATGGCCTCCATGCCCCAGCATTGGCCCTCCATATCCTCCATTCCCTCGCGCACCTTGGCCATTCCTCCACTTCATTTCCTGATTTCAGGGGACACGGATTCTCCAACGCCAAATATGATGTGGTGGCCTGGTGGCCTATCCAAGCACATGTGATTCTCCAAGCTTTCTGGAACCACGTGAGATCACCATCTGAGCACTGTGGTTACGTGCAGCTTATCATGCTAGACCTCAAACAGCTTGACTCTGCTTGACTCTGCTTTCTAGAAACACGAACCCAGGTCTACCCAAGCAAAACATGAACCAGCCAATAGATTGCCCCTGCACATCCCTTCACGACTTATGCCTTGCTTACCTGAACACCCAAACAGGATGATCCTGAAACGAAAACGCCACATGTTCAGACAGGAATTCTGTCATGTTGGATCAAAAAGTCATCAGCTAGCAGCTACCAAGTGAATTTTGGATGGAGAATGATTTGCAGTGATGTGTTTTTGTACTCAAACAGGGGGTGCGCCAATGCCCCCAAGGTCTAAGGTCATTGCCTTTCCTTCGTGCCCACAAAAACATTGGTTGCACCCGGGCCCCAGTCCAACTCATTCATGAGGCTCATAACATCTCATAACATCATGAGCTTCACGGAAATAGCCCACAGCCAGAAAAATATATATACAAAATACCAACAGCACGTCCCAAGACAAGCCTAAGCTCCAAAAGAATGTGGAGCGTCGGGCGTCAACTTTTTGAACTTCTTGAGGCCAGTCGGCCAGTCCAGTCCATTCTATCTCACAAATGAAGGGACACCAAACAAAACCCTTTGAACCACCAACCCATGTGTTTGGGTAAAGACTGTTCTCTTTTGATGGCCCGGTGACCCAAATTTCTCACATCCAAGAGTCGAATTCGTGCTGATCCTCCCAGCGGATGACCTCCACCGGCAGCCTTTCCAGCCTACAGTGCTTGTAGCAAAAGAGTCGGCGATTGTCAATCGCCCAGAACTGCCCCTGATGCCACGCCACGCGAATCAAGGGAATGTCCCTCGGGTGCGCGGCGCCTGAAAGGACCTCGGCGCTTGTGCACGGTGCTGAGCCACTCGAGCTGGGGCAGTCAAAAGTCATGAAAACTTTGGGGGCTTTACTGCTTCACTGAGCAGAGAGCAAGGCTTTGCATGGGTGTCGGGTGGTTTATGGTGGAGAAACAAGTTTGGCACACAAGGATGGCCCTCCAGGGCCCTCCAGCTATTTATCGCGACATTCACAGATCTTGGGCACTGCATCCAAGTGCCTGGATTGCCAGTACACCCTTTTTCATGAGTGGTTGGACGGTAACACCGACACAATACAGAGTCCCACTCGTGGGTCCAAAGGTGCAAAGGCCATGGGCTTCCCAATGCTACTAGGAGCAAGAAGCTACTAGGAGCAAGGACATCGCTACAAGGAGCAAGGACGCTACTAGGGGCTCCTGGCATCGCTACTAGGAGCATTCTTGCTGCTAATTATATATCCTTCATGTACCTATCACTGGGACAACCCACTGCCATCAACTCTGCAACCAAGCGCTTTTGGTTTGTGGCAGCTACTCACCCAGCCAACTTCCGAATCGTTCTCGTGGGGGTTTTCGCGGTTCCGCCGAGGCACCGATTCAATGAGCTCCAGAATCGGCCGCTGCTCGTGAGAAAAGGAATCGTTCACCTGGCTGGACGGCGCCCGTGGTCGGCGCTGGTCGAACCGTCGCTGGTCGACCGGTCGCGTAACCCCCGTAACCAAGGGAGGTGCCAAGGGTTCAGTGCCAAAGCATGGAAGGTGCTGATGGAAATCCACTGATCCCTCAAACGAATCTGGTTGGAGGGAGACTGCAATCGTCAACATGTTCGAAACATTTCGCAACCACCTGGCACCAGCTCACTACCCTTCTCTACTTGCTTGGAAGAAGAACTTGTGGAGCAAGGGGGGCTTGGCCTCGTTCTACTCCCGGGTCGCACTCCTTTCTTGGTCATTCAACGTTCATCTCTCCTGGCTGCTTCCCGCCTGCTTCTGGGTAAAGGCAATGTCCGTGACCCTCAGCAGCCGAATGCCCGGGGGCATCTCCTGCCCCTTCCGCACATCGTAGTCCCATGGCAGGGCGGCCGGCAGGGCGGCCGTCATGGCATGTGACGAAGGGTCACGTACAAGATGACTTGCAGTGGATCCAGGGTGGGGACATGGGAATGGTCTGACTCTGAGGCAACAGAATATGCTTAGACATTGGATTGTCAGGTCCTTCATCAAACATGAATACAGAATACACATGATTTGGATGATCGATCAGCCTGGCCCAGGCAAATGGTGTGGTGGGGACTGAAATCACCTGGATCTGGATCCAGTGTTAGGTGTACAGTAAATGATGTTGCAGCTGTTGGCCAAATTAGCATCCGGACTCCAGCAGCTGTTTTAGACCAGTTCCACCAATTCTTCTTAGCTGTCCGGGAGGGGATCGGGGGATCAAATGGTTGGCATTGGATTCAAACACATTCTTGACCTTGCAGATTGCTACTGTGATTTAAAATGCCCGACTTCGCCGTGGCTGCGCCGTGGCTGCGGGCATTTGCACAACTCGCATGGTGCACAATCAAACCTTATATAGTAAGAAAGAAAAAAAACTGTTGTAATGTGTCATACCAGAACCTCAAAATCAATAAGCCAACCCCTTCTCGATCAACCACCCTACAATCTGAAGGGATCTCCAGGAAAACCGCACCTTTTTTGCCTGGTGTCTCCTTTTGGAAGCCTGCCCCGAAAAGTCCTCCCGGGCGCCTCTATATGGACTGGCTCCGTCATGGCGTGTCTCAAACGCCCCGCCGACTGTACGTCATCGTCATCTTCGCCGTGCCGTGGCGTGGCGGGCGCTGACTTGGCACTACCTGCAAACTAAGCGAAGGGACTGGGTGTGGCAGTTTCGGGTGTAAACCCTGAAGCAGATCTGCAAGAGTATACCGTTTTGCAGCACGTAACGATTCCGCCATTTTGCTCTGGGAGGGGTGAGCTTGTGAACATCAAAGTCCGTATGTCATCAAAGTCACTCGAATCCAAGACCAAGGAATGCATCGAGCGAGCGAATGACCAGTCGGGTCCCATCCAGTCGATCGAATCACCGAGCGAGAATGCTCGAACCCAAACTTGGTGAAGAGATGGATTTCTGCAAGACGAAAGACTCCTCAATAAAAGAGCGGATTTGAGGTCTGTGCTGGTCTCAATGAACATTATAGGAAACAGTTATATAATAAGTTATACTGTAAAAAGCCTTTTAATTTATACTAACTAATTACAAAGCAATCACATGTTCGTGGAAGAAGAGTAAACCTCACAATCTCAGCACGGATCACAATTTCCCAGCTCGGATCGTGACCCAATCTTCAGGAGCCGGATCATCCCCTCCAAACACCCGCCTGGGGGCACCAAAGCAGCAGTCCTATTGCCTTCGGTGTCCAAGTCTGCCCAGTTCGCCTCGCGTTTTCCGAGCTTTGTCCGTGGGAGTTCTGAGTTCGTGCCGTGAGCGGGTGGGGAAGAAGCCAAGAACCCATGGGATCGTGCCAGCCCCCACGAATGGATCATTCACCATGCAGGGAAGAAAAAAAGACTTACAAGATCTTACAAGGACTTGGAACAAATTGAGAGCCTGGGTCATGGACTCTCAAGCTCATACATCACAAATGATGGCCATCACCTGATGGATCGAAAACCTGATCGATTCCGGGCTCCCCGATGCCCCGCCTTTCGTTCCTCCAGGCCGGGCTTCGCGGGGCCGTCGCTGAGCGCTTCGCCCAGAGTCCCCACCTGCGTTCCGCGTTCCGCGTTCGTCCGGATCTGCTGGAGCCCTTGGCACTCAGAAGAACGAAAGCACCCACCAAGGCGCCCTGCTCGGTGTGTCAAGGAGCCATGCTTCTGTGACTGAGCTTCTGTGAAGTTGATTAAAAGGTGTTCAAAGATCTCGGATGAGAGTAGTCTTTGACATCCGAGATCTTCTGCAAAGAAAGGGTCTTGATCCCTTGGGAGTACAGTAGGTGGGCAACCTTCACCACCCAGAAAAGCACTGAATGGTCCCGCGCCACAAATCAGAAATACACGATACCCTGCCCTGCCATAAAATCAAAGAAAGTGCCAGGGTCTCAGATGGCCTTTAGAAGCATGTGAGTTGAAAGTGAAAAAACACCCACAGCCTCAACGAACCAACCACTACACTTTTGAAAAAGCCGGATGGGTGAGCAGGAACAAGAACAGCACAATCTATTCAGGTGAGGTATCAAACAACAAAAGAGGTCCCACGTCCATGCTGCCTCATGTTGCTCCCAAGTCAGAACACAAACAATGCCTCAGCCTTTCATATTCAGGATCAATAACAGGACGAGCAATAGGGGATATATATACTGGATATTCCTCTTTTGGTGGCCCATCCCGTCTTCTTCTCCACCTCTCGTCCCGTGGAGCCAGGTCTGGAGCCAGGTCTCGAGCTGGGTCTCGACGCTGCCTCGTTGGTCGCCGAACAAAAACAGTCGTTAGCAGAAGCAACAAATCATCCCCTTTCTTTATTACTACTAGCGTGGCACTTGTTACTAGTAGCGTGGCACTTGTTACTACTAGCTTCTTGTTACTACTAGTAAGGCACTTGTTACTAGAAGCTTTCTTTGGGGGACGCTGGGCCGAAGGCCGAAGATGCTGACACTGAAGGCAGGTTCGGGGACTCCCTCATCAGCGTTCTTCCCTTTGGCGGCCAGAGAGCGGTATCCCTTCCGAAGTCGCTCTCTATCCAGTCAGCCATGGTCCAGACAGCCTATTGATTCCCCGAAACCCCGTGTCATGTTGATAGATGTAGATGCCTAAGTAGGTTAGTGGGTAACTAACTGGCTGGACGGATACCAAAAAAGGGTCCATACATCTCTAATTCTGTAATATTCTATATATGATGAGCTCTGTAGATGTATAAAAAATAAACACATCCATTGGTACATGAAAAATGCAGCAGCAATGCATGTACATCTTTGGATTTCCCAGCTTGAGCATCCCCGCTTCATCTCTCTCGCCGGTCGTCCCGCTGGTGGGGCCGTCCGCGGAGCGCGCGGAGCGGTCCGGGTCTGGAGACACCTGGTTGCCGAGAAATAGAAAGAGACTCGTTTTCAATGACTGGCTGGCTTTGGTCCAGCAAAATCAAGCACCAAATCACAAATCACATCAAATCACCGTATCGTCATGCCATTTTTCCACGCTGCCCTCTCTTTAAATGAAGAATGCCCCCAAAAAGGAGATATTATATTAATATATACTAATAGATACTGTCCCAAAGGATTGACTCCCAAAGCATCCGAAGCGTCCCTCCCTCCCGCGACCATCGTGGGCATCCACCGTGCGGCTCGCTCCCCGGCCTCATGGGGTGGGACACCCGGTGTCGCGTCCTGTGGGGCCAGAGGAAGTAGGGGAAGCAGGAGCTACTGGTAGCTTCTTGTTCCTAGTAGCGATGCCAGGAGCCCCTAATAGCGTCCTGGCTTTTAGTAACAAGGCCAGGAGCCCCTAGAGCTTCTTGCTCCTAGTAGTAGGGGAAGCAGGGCAGAAGCAGGTAGGATAGAAGTCTTTTCTTGGACTCCACTGCCATAGGATTCTTGAATGGGAACTGAAGGAGCTTGCGAGTGAATCCTATGATGAAGATCCTGTTCATATCTTTTCATGGGATTCTCAATCCATTGCCATCGTGATGAACTCCAAGATTGATCTTCCAGATGAGATCGACTCCCTCGACGGTCAAACACACAGAGTCCCGGTTTCACTCCGTTTGCTGGTTGCTGGTCCGTTTGAAGGCGAATTAGCCATCAATTTGAAGGGGTCCTACAACCCAACCAATGGAAGATGTCCCTCCTCTCAAAGAAAAGGAATCCTCTCACCTCCTGTCGATATGTTGAAAACAAAAAATAGGTTTCCAAAATCCCTGGACGACTTCCCTGTCAACTCGCCTCGCCAGGTGGTTGTGGGCCCGCCGGGCCGGTCGCGCCCGGCCCAGGGCCCTGCGGACGTCTGAAAGACCCATTGAACCGGGGGCCGTTGAAGGGGACTCTTGCTTCTTGTTACTCCTAGCGTGGCACTTGTTACTAGTAGCGATGCACTTGTTACGAACGTAGCTTCTTGTTACTCCCAAATCCCAAATAGACGATCCTGTGGAAGACGAGCGCTTCCTCCGCACTTTTTGTGCAATGTGAGTGGCGTCTCATCCACCGAAGAATTACCACCTACGTCCCGCTCCCTCAAACGCCTCGTCCTCGGACAGGGCCAGATCTGAGTCCTGGTGAGAACAAAGCGGAGCGAATTTTAAATAGATTCTTATTGTTACTAGTAGTAAGGCACTTGTTTCTAGTAGCAAACATTGTACTAGTAAGGCACTTGTTCCTAGTAGCGATGCACTTGTTAGGAACGTAGCGTCCCCCCAACGACCCTTTTTCAGACTCGAAGACACAGAAGACACAAAACGTCAGGGACTACTTGAGGTCATCGACTACTTGAGGGGCTTGGTGCGCCTCACGCGGGTGGGCAACTTGGTCCGTCTCAGATCAATCAACTTCGGTCAGTCCTGCATGGGCCACCAGCCACTCTTAGAGGTGTTCGGGCTCGAAGGTGAGTCTTCTCCTGAGAACGCCGCATGTGTGTGTTGGAAGATTGAAAATCCCCCTGGCAATAACCATTGGAACATTTTATCAATTTGTTCTTTTTTGTAGGGGGTCTCATCGTTGGTCCTTGCGAGTTTGAGACATGCCCACTGGACCCAGACATGGCAGCCCAACATGTTCAGGACCCCAAACCCGAAGCAAATTGGTTTCGGTGGTCTGGAATCTGGGAGGCTCTGCACCTGCCCGCAGCACAGCCCTCAGCCAGGGCCCGTCCTCGCCCGCTCTGCATGCGTCGCAGGGCACCCGCTGCGGCACCGAACTGGGCGGGGCCTCGCAGGTCGGTTGAGGGACCTGGCCCAGCAGGCCATCACTGGGCCAGAAGGTTGAGGGTTTCCAAGCAAATTCTGCATCCAAATAGGCCCAGCAGGCCATCAGCCCAAATCCAGTCTTATCCATCCAAAAAAGGACCGTGCATAACCCCGCATACTGGCAGGGTCACCATTCCCCAAAAAAACGATGTCTTGAAAAGAAGTTTTCTTGGTATCTCGAGACATCTTCTCCAGTTCT